AGACCACTATAAGATAACAGATTACAGTTTTACTATAAAGCAGAGGTCTTAATACAATTATATGTGTTCTTTTATTTTTAAATGGCAGTCTTTGAGCAAGTAAACAAAAATTGCCATAAAATGGTCAAAATATATAAATCTATGAGTCATCCAGTTTTTCCTGATCAGATTTATCTTCATTTGTACAAAACTCAGTATACTTTAAACAATTACACTTGATTTTCAAAGACTAATTAAACAATACCTACATATTCCTAGTATTTTGAAATGTATCAAAGGCAAAATTACATTAAATAAAAATAAAAATAAATATTGATGTTTTATCTTGGCATAAATCCAAAGGAATACAACTGGTCAAACGAGTGAAGAAAAGCTTTTGAATATTCTTTTTAACGGATCATAATGGTTATTTTCGGCATACTCTTAATACAGAATCCTTCAAATGCTGAAGAGACAAATGTCTGGGAGTCAAGGAAGCAGTAATCTGATAATTACATGGTTCAATCTAATGTGATGGAATTCTGTATATTTAGTCAACATACATGTCTCTTCATGAAAAATACATAGCTGTGGAATTAAAAAAAACACCTAACAATAAAATATATAAATATTACATCTCTGTACCCAAGGTAATGGTCATAAGGTAAAAACTAAATATATTCCGAGATCTTAATTATGTATAGAAATATACATTTAATAAATATTAATTTAATGGTATTTTCTCAGTTACAGGTACATAAGACTGGTTTAAACACATGCATTTTATAAATGAATTATTTCTTTATATAAATACTATATAAGCTACTCAATATCTCTGGAAACCAAAAAGTTTAAGGATAAAATATATATCCCTACTTCATGCTACAAAATGAAAGCTAGTAAAAAGAAATGTGTGTTAAATATTTGAGGGGCTCAGAAAACATTTAATAGTAGACAGAATTAGGATGAAGCTTTTGTTTGCATTTGCAATTCCCCCCCCCCCCCCCCATTTCGCTCTATCCATACGCTTCCACATCCAGTTTACATTACTAATGTTAGGGCAGTATCCTTATATAATTTATGAATTTGATTTATATGCAAATAAAATGACTGGAAAGGAAATTAAAGCTTTTTGGTCCCACATAATTGACATTTGCATGAATAAGTAGCTTTTGAAACTTTGTGAACGATTGTGCTTTAAATACAAATATCATTTAGAAGTATTTACAAATACACTGGCCATGCTGAAACTCCCGATTTTTCTAAAATTATAAGGTAGACCTGGACAGTTTGGAAGCAAATTCCGATATACCAGTGTTATTTACTAACCTTACTAAGTACTTAGTCTTTTAAACACTCTTGTGTATTAAAGATCAGCTTGATGTCAAGCATGGAATGAATTTTATCAATTACTAAGTACAAAACACGACACAATCCTTGCATTAATTCCAGTTATGCTATTTTGTCTCTCCTTTTTTGCATCGACAGCCCAGTGATACAAAGGGGCAAAATAGGTATTTTCAGTGGTTATTAAAACCTCATCTCTCTCCCCCTAAAGCAGGATAAAATGTGAATTAAAATATAAAAATGAGACGTGGCAGAAGGAAGAGATAAAAGCCTGCTTGTAAGACATACAAAAACAGGAAATGTCAAAAGCCCAAAACTACAGAGTCCAGTAAAAGTTCTTACAGAGCCACGTAGTCAGTACCTGTGGCCCAAGACAAAAGGAGAAGTAAGACAATAACTACTTATAAGGCTTTTTTCTCAAGATAACCAATAAGAAATGGGTTAAGTGTTTCCCTGTTAAGCTGCTTTTGAGAAGAATGCGTGCTTCGATGATAAGGGTTGTTCAGAAGTTGCATGCAAGCCTTTGACTACTTTTCTGAACCTGGCTGCCAATAAACAACTCCTTGATCCCGAGACGTCCAAGTCCTGTCATTTTCTGCAACACCCCCACCTTAAAGAAAGCAGAATATGATATCCGGCCCATGAAAACAATATGCCCAGGAGCCGAAATCTAAGGTATTATACAGAGAGAGCAGTTGTTGAGACGCGCCTACGAAGTAAGATTTTCCACCAGTTTTAGAAACAAACGTCTGCTCCCTATCGGAGATGATTTTGTGCATCCTTTTTTTTTCTGAAGAGGAAACGGCAGCGGTCCATTCAGCATCCGTATCTGAATAAGGGATCCATCGCTCGCAACTTCGGTTGACACACTCAGGTCTCCGAATCACCAACTCGTGTTCTCACCCATTCGCTCCCGCTTCCTCAACGGCAACCATTTTGTCGCCCCGCTCTTCCCTTTTGGCTGCCCCCTCCCCCCTCCCCACCAACCCATGACGACAGCACGCGACGGTCCCGTGACGCGCACCGCTGCGCCGATGGAAGATCGCGTGCGCGTCACGCCTTTCACCCCGGCCAACGGAGGTCGCGACGCCTCTCTCGCCGTCTGGGCTTGCCGCTCGGATTTGCGTGCCATGTCCTTGGCTCCGCCTTCCCTTGCCGCTATCGCTGCCGCTCTACTGCCCCGAGCCCTGCACATGCGTAGTACGAGCCGGGGCGTCCAAGCCGGGGGAGTCGGAGTTCAGTGTCGCGGTAGCGGGAGACAAAGCAAGTGAGGAAATGAATGAGACGGGGATCCTCGAACCTTCCTGTTAACCTCTTCGGCGCCGGCAGGTAGAGCGGGAGGCGCTGCGAAAAATAAGGTGAGGAGAGCAAAGACCCACCCGGGAGGGAAGACGGTGTACGCGCGGTGCCCGTCTCCTGCTCTCCCCCCGCCCGCCGGGCAACCGCCGAAACTCCTTTCCGCAACCGCCGTGGCAGGGACGCTGAAATCCTTCCGCTGGGGACGGAGCTCTTTCGTCATCCCAGCCCGGGAGGGTCGCCGTGGAATTGGAGTCGGCCGGGCTCAGGAACCAACGCCGGCCCGGGTGCCTTGCTCTCTCGCTCCCTCGCGGGCGTGCGCCGGCCTTTATTGTTTGAGGGCAGGGACGGAGCCTCGGTCGGGAGGGATTCCCGTGGGTCCCTTCCAAGGATCCGCCGCCGGTATCTTCCTGCCGTCTCCTGTCTACCTCACCCCCCCGCCCACCCCCTTCCCTTTGGGAAGGCCGCACTTTTCTTTTACAAGGGTGCAGAACTAGCGCCCGGCTTTGTCTCGCCTTCGTTTTGTCCCCGTCCCCCCAGAGATCCACGCACTTTATACAAACCGTCCGTTTAGAGCAGGGCCGCTTCCTTTGGCCTTGCCTGTTTCCCTCCCTTCAAGCGAGGCTTCATCCTTTTCTTTCTTTCTTTCTTTTTGTCGTCGTCCTTTGGCTCCCTCGCTCTCTTTTTCTGACAGACTTCGTGGCCCATCCGTGGCCATATGGCTGCTGGGGGGAAACGAGGGTGTTGTTGAGCCATGCTGGGTGGAGCGACACTGCCCCCCCCCCCCCCCCCCGCTTCGTCCTTTGTCAACAACTCAAGGGGGACCCTTGGCGTGCAAGGTGGGGAGGCTGGGGTGGGGTGGGGAGGCTTGGCTGGGGTGGGGGATCTGTCTTGT